GACCCGCACACGGGAACGACTCGACCGAGCGCCCGCGCCCCCCGCGCCTTATCCCATCCCGTCCATGACCCGCCGCGCCCACTCGCTCGCTCCGCTCACCCGCTGTCCCCCCGCTCCTCCGCACCCACTCGCTGTCGCGCTGCACGCCGTTCTCCGGGCCAGGTCGCTGCCGCCCCTCCCTCCCCCCTCCGTGACCTCCATGCGACCCCCACCGGAGACGAGGACGGCGGCGGCGGCTCCGACGAGGTAGGTCGGTTCTTCTCTTGGATCTGAGCCCTCCTCCTCCTCTCCTCCTCCTCCTCCTCCTCTTCCTTCGGATCTGAGCGCTCCTCCCCCTCCTCCTCCTCCTATGGATCTGAGGGACGCGACAGTGGCTAGGGTTCCGGCGAGCTCTGGGGTCCTATTCCCTACTCACTCCGGCGAGCTCGAAGGTGATGGGCCAGGAGCTGTTTGGGACGCTTTTTCGGTTGTTTCTCCCGTGTTGCAATGAGTGTTTTTTGATGTTGCAATAGATGATTTTTGAATGTTGCAATGGGAATTTTTGGGTCGTTGCAACAGATGCTTTTGTGATATTGCAGTACTACTGCTTGAGATGTTGCAGTATATAATTTTTGATCTCGCAACACATAATTTTCGATGTTGCAGTATATATTTTTTCGATGATATAGTACATGTTTTTCGATGTTACAGTACATATTTTTCATTGTTGCAGTACATATTTTTCGATTTTCAGTGCCTGTTTTTAATGTTGCACTACATATTTTTTTGATGTTGCAGTATTTACAACCCGATGTTGCACTACATAGGTTTTCCATATGTTTTGCAATGTTGTAGTTGAAGTGTTTTATGCTCTTTTGGGACATGGGCGCGGTGGGGGAACGTGGTGCATTGGGGAGCGGGGGACAGGGTGCGGTGGGGAGCGGAGGACAGGGGCGGGTTCCATTCTATTCCGATATATGCGGGGGGCGGGCGAGGTTCCGTAAGAGACCGGTGTCCGGACGCACTCACACGCCGGACGTTCGGGCGCTAGAATCACCAAAAAAAATCGTGCATGTCGCGCCTTGACCTGGTAGCAGATGAAATTAAGTAGTAGGCGTATATACTCCTACTTTATACATAATATATTAAGAGAAATTATCTGACTTATTCTGTAATTAAATTCAGCGGTAGGGCAACCTAATTTCGTTTAATTAATTAATTTGTATGGTCCCTTGGTTCATCCTCTGACTGTCGATGACGCAGCAAGAAGCCACGCCACCAAGGCCATTTTTCTCGATCGTGTCCTCGTGACACGTTTTTCATTAAGAGAAAGCAGAGTTTAACAAGTTACAACCAACCTAGGTAATCCAGAGATTACCAAATACATAAAAAAGAGAGAAAAAACAGCGATGGGGAAGAATCCACAACCCAAAAACCCTACTAGCCATAACCTGCAAGAAGATACATCAACGCAGAAGCTGCCTACAGAGTGGACCAGGTCACGGTGGCAAAGCATCCACCAAAGAAGACGAAGAACCAGCAATAACAGCGGTGAAGCATCCGCCCAAGAAGATCAGAGCAACCTTGACGGCAAAGTATCCGCAAGGTGAGAGGCCCACACCAACTCGGCAGCAAAGCATCTGCCAGAGAGGGGACCCAGGACAACGACGATGGCAAAGTATCCACCAGGTGAACCAGTAGCTACAGAGTGACTTTGGCGGCAAAGCATCCGCAAGGTGATAGGGCACACTCAGTAACAAATTATGCCAGAGAGGGGACCAACGACGGCAAAGCTTCCGTCAGAAATGAAGCAACTGTGACTAGATCAAGCACTCTAGTAGGACAAACCTCTGCGAAGAACATGAACATGAAGCACACACAGGCATAGCAAGGGGCAAATCTAGCGAGAGGGACAGCGGAGATAGGTGCAAAGTAACGATAGCTTCAAGAAGGGGAATGACATCCGCGGATGCCACCACTGTTGGAAAAAAAAGGGCGCGCATCGACGAGCGAGCGGACAGCCTAATGGAATTTTCGACGACGCCTCAGGGGGTAGATGACGCAAGCTGCGACACCGTCGCTGGCCCAGAGCAGAGGTCGGGCAGGGCTTTCACCTAGATTCCAATCAACCATGAACGCGAACCCCTCCCTTGTAGCCCGAGGACACGGCAGCGGTGACGTGGACAGCTGTAGGACGGATGGCTGGCGACCTCGGCCAGGCCCACCTCAGCGGATGCCTGCAGCCTCCGCGATCCATGTGCACCGGCAACAGTGTAGCACGCGACTGGGCGGCCTACGCACCAGCTGCAGTGCCTGGACCTGCGCTCGCGCCGGAGGCTCAACGACGGGTCGGCGGCCTCGCCAAAAGCTGGCGGCTAGCGGCCCCTCACGGCCCCAAGCCCGTGCACCGCGGTGACGCTGTGGTCCGCACGACCTTGCAGACGGCGCTAGGCGGAGGCCCACGCGATGGACCCTCGCGTCCTCCGCGCGCTACGCAGCAAGCGGCAGCGGTCCCACAAGGCTGTCGTGCGCCGCGGCGTCCTTTGCGTTGAGGCCCGCGCGTCCACATATGCAGCCGAGATAGATCCACGTAGGCAGTAGACAGCGACAGGCGTAGCCCCACGCATCATCCCGTGATGTAGATCCGCACCACCTCCGCGCGCCTCACAGCTTCCGGCCGGCGGCCCCGCAGCCTGCGCCTTCAGCAGTCGCGGTCGGCGTCAACACCAGGATGCCCTCCACCTTCACAGATCCAGTGTCCCCGCGCATGGATCCAGCCCGTAGGAGCACGAATCTGGTTGAAATGTGCCCGGATCGAGAGATTTGGGGTTGAGGGATGGTGCGGAGGGAAGGACGAGGAAGAAAGCCTTTTTGAGCTCCTTCCCCTGGGCGCCACCGTAGCACCGGTGAGGTGCTACGGTGGCGGCGGCGGCCGATCCGACGAGAGGAGGCGAGGTGCTAGGCCGGGCAGGCGAGCGCCCTCGAGTCGCCTCGACAGGAGACGACGCGAATGTTTTCGCTCCACAAGTCTTGTTTTACCAAGGCCATTCGATGGAGCGTATATAGGGATGTTTGATTTGAAGCCTTCTAGGCAGCATCAACATTAGGCAGCACTCCAGCCCCAAACGTTTAAAATTAGATGTCTGACACAAATAAAGGCCTCGCCCCGGGAGCAAAACAGACAGACCGGCCCATAGTATTTCCAGTGGCAATGCAAAATTTGTCGTGCTCAATGTCTCCCTGACATGTGGGCCCATCGCGTGCCCGTGAGTCCCCTACAAAGTACTCAAATTACATGTTTTTTTGGGCAGCGTGGGGGTGGAACAAAAAAATAAACAGCCCAGTGTCCCTTCCATGCTTAGTCAGCGCAGTGGTTTTATTTCTTTTTTTTTGATAATTCACAGTGGTTTAATTTGATTCACGTGTATACACGTGGCGGAGACGATCCGGTCTATCTATATATAAATAAATATTATTAAGGCCGGTGGCGTGCTTAATTAGGTCGCCGCATAGTTGCGCTGTATTTTACATGTACGTACAGTATATGTCCGAATTAGTTAGTACGACTGGTCTAAATATTTATACTGATTTATTGTAAAATAAAAATAATGTTCGCTTGTCGAAAAGTACCGCTGCCGCACAACATGACCTTGTTCTGCGTTGTTCTGCGGGTTCGGTTTGACTGACATCGTACGTGCGCTGTGATTTGTTTTGTGGCGTCAGTCGATCATGTGCACTGGTGCATGCATGCTCTCTATATACGGCGTATACTTTAATTAAACGCAGGAAGAAGCAAGGTCAAGACGTGACAATCCGTGACATATGTGTACATGCATATTATACTCAAGTGGAACTACGTATATACTAGTACACATATATAATTAAGCACACACAGCATATATATTCACCAAAAGGTCGACGGCGGCGGTAGTTGTTTCTGGTGGGCAAGTCATCTGATCCGATCCGGTCCGGTCAGCAGGGATGGTGTTATTACAATATAATTAAGCACACACAGCATCTAATTAAACGAAAGCATTAGTATCGGCAAAAGTCTAAAACTTGGGCTCAATGGGGCACAAGAAATTAATTAAACATAGCCCTCCAGCATGCAGGTCATAAACGATAAACTTAACAGCGTCATCAGAAGGGTAAATTGATTAAGACCTGGTTTCTGTTTGGAAGGATTTCTTCTAAAACAGCTCTAGCTTCTAGCGAATATTTTTTGTAGCGAGAGATTATTTTTCTCCCTTTCAAAGAGCCAGTGAAGCCTGGAAAACCGGCTTCACCGGACACCAGCTCTGCCTCCTAAAAAAACGAAGCCAAAAAAAAAAACTGCCAAACCAGCCCTAAACTAGTCAGTCACTGGGCAACGATTCGGATCGACAAAAACAACACAGATGCGTGCTCGTTCGTTGCCTTTGCCTCTATCACTGCTGGTCGTACAAATCGTACGTGTACAACGTGTACGTAGGCAGTGGTAGCTTAGCTGCGGCGCGCCTTTTTCTTCTTGTATTTCCTTGTCTGACTTGTGCGCTCGAACGACGCACGTTGTACTTGTATATATGATGCGATATTATTCTAGCTCGTTGGTCAACACAGCATGCATATGACCAATTTATTATGAAAAGAAAAATATTATTTATTAGCTGAAAAAATACAGCTTCGTGTGAAAAACACGAACAACGTGATTGTTTCCGCTGCTGCCAGAATAATCCTACTCCAGCTAGTTTTGGTTTGCCTAGTCACGTCCAAAACGTCAAACATTCACTGAATGGGGAAAGAAAGGTCATTTCTATAGAAAGAATTCCTAGAAATTTATAATGATTCCATAGTTGCTTAAGTCCTATTCGGCTGTCTAGAAAAACGGCTCGTGGTGATGATGAGGTTGATTTACTACGAGAAAAAAAACGCGGTTATTTTGCTCAAAATCGGCTGATAAGTGGCCAAAATATGTCTCCTGACCATGGCAAGCCATCAGACAACTGTAACCAGTTGCCTTCCTCCCCATCGATACCTCCCACATGGCAGCCTCGCCGTGCCTCTCCCTCTACTTCGCGCCCGACGCCATCCGCGGCGGCTTCTCCTTTCCTGCAGGCCCGGACGGCTCGCGGAGCGCTGCTCCCGCCGCGGCTCATCGACCTCTGGCGCCCCCACAGCAGGTGCTCTGCACCTATCGCGACGAGCCGCGTTGCCTTCCTGTGCTGTTGCTGAGCTGCGTCGCGCCGTCGCCCGCTTTACCGCGGTCCGCGGTACCGCCGATGCGCGCCCTCGCCCATCACCGGCCCATCGCGCTTCCATGGCGGTCCCCGGCCATCGCGAGGAGGCAGGACAGCGGGGTGGCGGTCGGCAGCGATTGCAGCAGGCGCTCCGCGGGGAAGCGGAGGCTAGCCGGGAAGAAGGTGGCCGGCGCCCTCGCAATCGTCGTGCTCGCTCCTGACAAAAGCGGCGATGAAGAGCAGAGCTGAGAAGGGCACTGGCACGCTCGTGGCTGGCTGTCCGCGGCCGGCGCGCTCGTCGGCGCACCCGAGAAAAGCTGCGAGGAGAGGACCGGAGCGGGGAAGAGGGGCCATCGATGGAGGAGAGTCGCGCGCTCCGCAAGAGGAGCGAGCGGCGCAGGGACGGTGGAGCGGCGGCGGCGCGGACCGCGGAGTCGCCAGTGCGGGGAAGGGAACTCAGGGGCGACCGTAACAAAGGATAAACGGTGGGGCCCAGCTGTTAGCGACTATAACTTAATAGGTTTTAACAGAAGTGGCGATGAACGAAACACAAAAATTATTTCATGGCAGTGAAGGAAATTTGGAAATTTTGATGGCAATCAGAAAAGTGTTTTAATTTTTAGTGGCAACGAGGGAATTTTCTTATTTTTAAAACCTCTCGAATATTCACAAAGTCCGGTTTTTTTCCCTCCCGTGCTCCATTATAAACTCGGGACTTTGTCCTCGACTTTTAAAGCCATTTTTGTTTTTATATATACCATGGATGGTTAGGCAACATTTTGCTTGATGTGATGCAACATCAATTGTCTTACATGGCACCACGTCAATCATAAGAGGGTAAATTGGGTTATAAATAATTTTCCTTCAATCGAGTCATGACTAAAGGTAGTAGGGATGAAAAAAAAGATCGAATGCAAACAGCTATATTCATATATATATATGGATATGAATACATATAGTTATTTTTTTCATAAATTCAAAATCAATATGGATATTGTCGGGTTCATTAGATAGAAATATGAACAGATAATTGTCATGTTCGTTTGGCTAATAAGTCATGGTTGAAAGTATTGTTGGTTGATTTGTTGTGAGAAAAAAATAATATTCGTTGGTTAAAAAATACGACTTATAAGCCAAGTGAAAGGGGGAGTAGCTGAATACTAAAAAAATACTACATATCCATGTTAGTCTGTCAGATGTGTGGTTCACATTCAGTATCAAATTTTGATCCGAATTTGGTATCAAACATTAAATATCTAAATTTGGATACGAATAAATCTGAAAAGTACATTGAACATCCGGGTTCGGAGATGAACCGATTTAAACCTTCGGATGGACAGGCGGGAATATCTAAATACATTTCGTAGTTGGGCTGGCCAAACCCCATACGGCATGTTCGCTTTGATCGTTTATGTGGCTTATAAGCCGACAGATGATGTTTTGTTGTGAGAGAAAAACACTGTATCATGGCTGATAAGCATGGCTGATACGATCAAGTGAAAGCATCTAGGCCCCTAGTTGGGTTTCGGTGATTAATGATAATACAAAATTACTATGACTAACGTGTGTTTTGCAGAAACAATTAAGTTAGGTCATGGTAATGGAGATCGATTGGGCAATCATGATGGTCATGCCCCTACGATGGAAATCATTTCGGTTTTCAAAGGATGGACGACAAGGTTAAGGATGACTAGTTCTAAGTGTCGATTGGAGTTGGAGAGACACTTAGAGTAGTTTAGGACTTTGTTTTTCCTTTGGCCGTACTATTAAGGGTGGTATGGATGGATAGCTTGATCTAGGTGAGTCTAGTGAGTTAGGTGTGGTGCACACTTGTTAAAACTAGCACTAGGTAGCTCCTAAATATGCCTAAGATCCTTTGGAACAAACTTCATTCACATATGATCGAGAGTTGAAAGTGAATGGAGGGTCAAATACTGACCGGACGCTGGCTCAGGGTCCGGTAAGTTTATTTGACCAATGTGTTTGCGTCTGGTTTGGACGAGAGAATCAAGAATGAGAGCCAACGTCCGGTCGACTCGAAGAAGGGTTCGAGAGAGGAAAATCACGATCGGACCAGCGTCCGGTCAGTCTTGATCGGATTGTCCGGTCATTCAATCACTATAAACACTAGAGTTCGGGTATACTGACCGGAGCGTCCGATCACCCCGCAGAGACACATAACGATTCGTTTTTAGCCCATGTTATAAATACTTCCTCCACTCATGTGTGGGGGTACTTTTGCTCATTCTAACAGCTGAGAAACACCTTAGAGAGTGCCAAAAAGAGCAAGGTCCTAGTGGGGTGATTGAGATTTGAGAATTCTAAAGAGAGCCCTCATTAGCAAGATCAAGAGTAGCAAAGTGTGCATCCACCCTTCTCCCTAGGCTTGTTGTGGTCAAATGAGAGTTCGTGCTTGTTACTCTTGGTGATCGCCATCACCTAGACGGCTTGGTGGTGATTGAGAGCTTGGTGATCATCCGGAGAGCTTGTGGATGACCCAACTCAAGTTGTGAGCGGTTGTGCGTGATTCACCGCGACGGAGTGTCGAAGAATCAACCCGTAGAGAGCACTTTATCCTTGCGCGGATCAAGGGGGAGCTACACCCTTACGTGGGTGCTCCAACGAGGACTAGTGGGGAGTGGCGACTCTCCGATACCTCGGCAAAACATCGCCTGTGTTTCCTCTCCTCCCTTTACTTTGAGCATTTACTTTGAGTATTTACTTTGAGTAATTACTTTGAGCATTTACATTGAGCAATTCAATTCTTATTTTTACATTCATAGAATTGCCATGCTAAAGTAGGATTGAAACTTAGGTTGCAAGTCTTTTGTGTGGTAGAACAACTAGAAACACTCTCTAGGCACAAGGGGTTAATTGGGCTAACCATATGACTTAATTATTGCAAAGAAATTTAGAATTAGCCCAATTCACCCCCCCCCTCTTGGGCATCTTGATCCTTTCAATTGGTATTGGAGCCTCGTGCTCACATATTTAGGCTTAACCGCCTAGTGAAAGATGTCTCACAGGGATGGACCTCCTCCTATCTTTGAGGGGGATGATTTTCCTTATTGGAAAATTTGTATGGAGGCGTACTTAGAAGCTCTAGATGTTGGAATACTTAGAGCCGCCTCTCAAGGCTTCCCAAGACCTAAGGATGTCGCACACCCACAAGGCGATGAGTTGAATTACGAAAAATGGAATGCAAAGGCTAGAAACACCATATTTAGAGGCCTTTGTAAAGATATGTTCAACCGGGTGAGGAACCACAAAGGCGCCCATGCACTATGGTCGGACGTTTGTGCGCTCCATGAGGGAACAAAGAGTGAGCGTGAGGAACGCTATCATCTTGTCATGAAAAAGCTCAACTCTTTGAAATGGTTCATAAAGAATGTGCTAATGAAATGTATTCACGTTTGAATGTTCTTGTAGAGAAAGTTAATGGACTTGTACTCACTCAAATGCAATCATCCGATGTTGTAAGAAAGATCTTGAGTGTCCTCCCCATTGACAAATATGGGCATATTATGACCGTGCTACATCAAGGTGATCTTTCCACCGCTACACCGACACAAATCTTGGGAAAGATCAATGCTCATAAGATGTACATGCACATCACACCTCAAGATGGCTCATCCTCTATAAAGAAGAAAGAAAAAGACTTAGCATTCAAAGCTAGCCAAGAGAAGGGCAAAGTAAGGCTTGAGTATAAGAGCTCAAGTGATGATGAAGTTGATGATGAAAGCCTTGCTCTCATGGTGAAGAAAATGGCCAAGATGCTAAAGAAGCTCAACAAGAGTGGCATCAAGTTTGATGGCAAGAAAAAAAAGTTCTTCACAAGCTCAAGAAGAAAGCCAATCTCGAGATGGATTGCTACAATTGTGGCAAACTTGGTCATCTAGCTCACCAATGCACAAAGCCCAAGAAAGATAAGTTCAAGAACAATAACAAGGGCAAGAAAGATGACTCAAGCAATGAAGATGAAGATGAGAAGAAAAAGAACAAGCCATACAAGAAGAGAGATGGCAAGAAGAATGACTTCCACAAGAAGAAGAAGAAGAAGAGTGGAAAGGCTTATATCATCGGTGATTGGCTCATGGACATTGATTCATCTAGTGGATCATCCGATGATGATAGTGACGATGAGAAGGTGGCCGCTATTGTTATTGATTCTTCATCATCTTCACCGCCACCACCGCCGTCATCCTCTACACACCTATGCCTTATGGCCAAAGGTGAACGAAATGTATCACATGATGATGATAGTAGTGGTGATGATCATGCTCATAATAATGATAGTGATAATGATAGCGATGATGAAGAATATGAATCACCTACTTATAATGATCTTGTTAAGTTGCTAAAGAAATACACTAAGATCATTATAAAGACTAGAGCTAAAAATGAAAAGCTTGAGATTAAGAATGATTTTCTCTTAGCCAAATGTGACATAGCCGAAAAATCTAGTGTTAGCTTAGAGAAGCAAATGAAGCTATATCATCCAAACTCAAGGAGCTCAAATCTTCTAAGAAAGAGCTTAAAGATAAACATGATAAACTTGAGTGGGTGCATAAAGATCTCATCACTAGCCATAACAAGCTAAAAGAAGAATATACTACTCTTAAAATTAATCATGATAGTCTTGTTATTGCTTAAAAATTTCTATCCAATGAGCCACATGATGCTACTAACCATGTTGCTAAGATTGATATAGCTACATCATGTGATGACTTAATTATTGAGAGCATTGAGCAAGGTTCTAGTGGCAAGGGCAAGCAAGTGGTTGAGGCCGATGATTATGATGAGTTTGTCAAGCTAAAGAATGGCAATGCAAAGCTCAAAAAAGATCTTGAAGAAATCAAAAGCTACAACACCATTGTGCTAGAAACCCTTGATCATGATGGTGACTTGATCCTTGAGAATGAGAAGCTCAAAGAGGAAAACAAGAAGCTCAAGGAAGAGAAGAACAATGATGCTCTTAAGGAAGAGAACAGGAAGCTCAAGTTGGAGAAAGAGCATCTTAAGGTTGGATTGAGCAAGTTCACAAGAGGCAAATATCTTCAAAGTGAGCTACTTATGAACACCGTCATGAAAATGGATAGAAGTGGCATTGGATATGTGGCACATATAGAGAAGAAGAAGGCTCAAGCTCAACAACAACAATCAAAGCCAAAGTCAAAGCCAAAGAGATGCTTTGAGTGTGGACAAGAAGGTCATTTTGCTCATGAGTGCCAAACTCCACCACCACAACC